ATCAAGGTCGTTGTAGACGGTGCATGTTCTGACTACAAGCCTATTAACGCTGGTGTTCCACAAGGCTGTGTGCTATCACCAACGCTGTTTCTTCTGCATATCAATGATATGTTGCTAACTGGTAACATTCATTGCTATGCGGATGACAGCACTGGTGATGCTCTATACACCGGCCGGGCCAATATTTCTCGGGAAAACGTCGCCGAGTACCGGAACAAACTTGTGTCTGAAGTCGAGTCTTTGCTGGACAAAGTCTCGGATTGGGGGCGACTAAATCTAGTCCAGTTTAATCCTCAGAAGACACAAGTTTGCGCGTTTACCGCCAAAAAGAACCCCTTTGTCGTATCTCCTCAGTTTCAAGGCACTCCCCTTCTTGCCTCAGCCAGTATCGGTATCCTCGGAGTCGACATATCGAGTGACGTGCAGTTTCGTGGTCACTTGGAAGAGAAGGCCAAATTGGCCTCTAAAAAGCTTGGCGTGCTCAGCAGAGCGGGACAGTATTTCATGCCGGCACACCGCCTGCAACTTTACAAGGCGCAGGTTCGGCCTCACATGGAATACTGTTCCCATCTCTGGGCAGGGGCTCCCCAGTGCCAGCTCCTTCCACTTGACCGCATCCAGCGCAGAGCGGCTCGAATCGTCGACGACCGAGCCCTTTCCGATCGGCTCGATTCATTGGCACTGCGAAGAGATGTTGCATCTCTTTGCATTTTCTTTCGCATCTACCATGGGGAGTGCTCTGAGGAATTGTTCGGATTAATCCCAGCCGCCAAATTTCACGAACGCACATCGCGGCAGAACTCCCGATACCATCCACACCATCTGGATGATTGGCGGTCCACCACTGTGCGATTTAGAAGATGTTTTCTTCCTCGCACAACTTCCTTGTGGAATAGTTTACCACCAGGGATTTTTCCGGACCGATACGACTTAGGGACCTTCAAGAAAAGAGCCTACTCCTTTTTAAAAGGCCGGCAACGCATCTGCAATTCCCCTGGTGTTGCGGTTGTTCATGGGCGGCGGTAGTCACTTACCATCAGGTGAGCCGCATGCTCGTTTGCCCCCTCTCTTATAAAAAAAAAAAAAAAAAAAACTAATAATTCAATGTCTGCAGTCATTGTTACGTTAATAATAATATGGATTTGATATCTAGCTAAGAGTATAAGAACGATTTTATGTAGCGAAATTGAGGTATGGCCACATATCGAGAGTAAAGCACTCCCTTACGTTGTGATGCGTGCAATTAACGTTTTGAGTACTTTCAAGAAAAATCTAAGAACAAATTGTTACTTATTTTGTACATTAGTAATCATACTGTTAATGACTATGTAGATCTAAAATAAATAATTAAATTAGTAAAAGTTTTTAATTTGTGACAACCCTAACCTCCATACGCTGTCTAGACGGTGTCGGCATTTACCACGAGATCAAAGGCGTCGTCCTACTGTATGTTTATTATGCTGTGGTAATACGGATTAGTGATAGGATTAGAATCATTGTGTTCCTCAGTGTTGGCCATGATCTGCAATTAACAAAAACAAGTATGAAGTCAAAAAAAGATAATGGCGGCTGAATTTCTAAATAGTAAAAAAAATTATTAAACTCACCAATATGGATGATATTTGACGAGCGTTGTAATCAACATGCACTCGCTATGAGAATAAAACAATAATGAAACAGTTGAGGGAGGGTGGGAGACGCTCTTCAATCCAGGTAAGACACATTATTTTATTTAGTTAGCGGATGGATGCAAATTAATTAATATCTTTATTGAAATGCATTTACGATGTTAGGTTTTCGGGTCTTTTTTGATTTTTTCTTGATTCGGTCGCCGCGCTCAAAGCCCGCGATAAAAGCTATGCAATAGCTTAAAAACGTTTATTAGCACTAACCACAATGAAATTAGGCTAAACAAGTTGTATTATTAGAAATTAATCATATAGATGCGGCAATACCTCTGAATATAATGCTCAATAACTCAACTGGAAGTGGAAGTACACTTGTTCCCGCAGGATAGAACTGTGAGTATGTAGACGTTAATTTGGTTAAACTAAAAATATTGCACCTCTACTGGAGAGAATTGGGGTCTTCAGCGGCATGTAGCTCGAGCGATGCGAGAGCAAGTGACGCAGAAGCCCCAATTCACACCTACTGATGTGATTCTCAAGATAAGGTGTCTGTCTGCTTAGGCGCCTTGAGATACTATCGCCAACTGTCAGCTGTCTGCTGGCTCAAGTTGCCGTCAAAATCTTCCAAACGCTGCACAATGTGACGCATTGCGGAGCAGTGTAGAGGGATAGTTAAACATTATAAGTTCAGGCCTAGAAGGGTTAGAACCCAAAGCCGTAAAGCCAGTTATAAAAAAGTTCTCCTGAAATTAAGGATGTACGATGTTGCAGAAACATCGATCATGACATTGATGTTGACATCGATAGCTCAACATCGATGTTCGATGTTTATCTTACTCAAAACAACGTTGTTGGCCATTATCAATGTTTTTTGGTCATGTATTTAATAGGTTAGAATTAGATGAATAAAAAAAATGTCATGTTGTTTATGGTTTATAATTAATGAAATAAAATAAATTAATAAACAATGTAGCGAAATTAACAAAACTTGGAAGTAGTTCACAAATATCTAGTTCATTTGTTATATAGTCCAATATTTTTGCCGATTGATTGAAAAAATAGTAATTTTGATAAAGAAGTACCTTTCAATTTGTTCCTTTGTTGATAAAGAGTTGAGCCAGTTATTGAAAATAATTTAAAAATAAAATTTTTGTACAACTGACTTTAATATAAATTATAAAGGATAACTAAAAAACTATTGGTCAGACTTATATATATGGGTCAAATTTATATGGTATCACATGATGGAACACCAGCTTTTAAATAAAAAAATAATCATCGAAATCGGTTCACCCAGAAAAAAGTTGAGAGATAACACAAATTAAAAAAAGAACATACAGTTTTCTTGACTTTTGATTGCAGGCTCAAAGCCTCTTTCTTCATTCAGTTATAAAATATTATTAACCTTTTGAGCGCCTCGCCAAAAACGCATTAACGTGTCCTGCACGCCAAAGCGAAAAGTAAACAAAATTACCTACGAAAAACATAGTGTTGCCAAGAGTTGATATATCAATAACACAAAATTACTTGTTTTTGTTGGTTTTTTATGCGATAAATGACTCTTTATAATCTGATATGTTTTATTTAATCTTGTGCTTTCTGCCACTCTTTTTATATATGTACTTTGTACATAAATAAACAACAAACAATTACAATAAAATAGTACTACTCTCCATCGTGATGACGTCACTGCACAAACTATATAGAAACACTACGTCACTGTCACGACTGGACGACAACGGCGTAGCTGACTTTCCTTTTTGAAACTTTCTTAGAGATGTAGCCGTGTCGCACGTTGTGTATCGATTTCGAAATCGATCTAACCAAAATATACAGACATCGATTCAAAATATTTTATATGTCGGGGGAGGCGTAGGCCAAGTGAAGCACAAAAGAAAAGTCTTACGCTCTTATGACAATGGGGGTTTGATATGATGCTGATGCTGCTAGATGATTTCGAGATTGAGAAAGAAAATCGCACAACACACACACACAATGAAAAATTGCTCTTCATACCTTAAGTAAAAAACACATTTATTATTTGTAATTTTATATTATTAAAATAAAAAACTACAAAATTATTCACTAATCAACAATTGTATATAATTATTTGCACTTGTTAAATCAGTCAGAATCGTTCATGTTGCACTGCACTACTTTTCCCGCTAATCACTTCTGACGTCATCAGGGTGTCGTCTATCCTTGATCACGGCGCCCAGTGAACTGATTTTCGATGTAGCGCTAAGGATGCGCCAGAGTTGAGATATTTGATTTATTATGCGAAGATGATTTGATAACATTTTTTTATTCCTGTAGCTAATTATAGTTTCATGTTTCTAACCTTTTGTTTTATTCAAATATCAATAATAATAGAAAAAAAAATAACACGTTTGAGCTGAATTTTGGATAGTTTTCAAGAAATCTATGCCTCCCGCGTTCGTCACTGACGGTCAAACATAGACTTTGGCGTGCTGGATAAAGTATTTGCTTAGATAAAAATAATTTTTTTTAGTTAAATGTTTCTTAGTACTTGTGGCTCTAGGAGACTTGTTTTTTATACATGTTGCTGGGTTATTCTTTTTTGAGGAGTATAATTAAAATACCAGTAATAATTATCCAATATCTCTATTTCATATTTTTGTGGGCCGGGTTTTTTTTCAACTATAGACGTCGTTGGCGCTCAAGGCCCGCAGGAGCTGGTCAAGTATAGGCGACTTTGGCGGTCAAAAGGTTAAACATAATTATGTCTGTTATATTAAAAAAAATATACAAAATATTATAAAGTGCAAACAAACTGGTTTTTATTATAATACATTACCTATTTTGCAACTAGAAATATTCAACATTTTGGTGGTCCTTTTTGAAGTCGGTAGATAACCGCTCAGATGGCGTTGAACATTGATGTAGCGATTATATTGATTTATAGCAACTGTATTCAAATATCTCACTGCAAGTTTTTTTTTTTTAATTTTAGATTTTTTTAATTAAAAGGCTAAACGTGCATTGGATCGTGTTTAAGATCAACCATCGGATTTTTTTTAAAACAACCGACAAAGAAACAGAAAACCAACAACGACACCAATAACAAAACGAAATCAGTGACAACTGTGACATTACAGTTGACACTTGACAGTTAATTTTGATACACCATAATGATATATTTTTAGGTTATCGATGCGTTCAAGCATTCTCAATTATTCAAAATTTTAAATATTTTAGATGCAGGATTTAGTTGATATTGATTTAGTGGATTCGCAATGTTCGCAAGTACCCAATAATAGATTATGGGTTTATTGACATCGATGTTTCGATGTTTGACATGTAGCTACATCGATGTTTTCATTTTTGACATCGATCATCCCTACCCGAAATAATATAAAAAAATTAAACCAAAATTTGGTTTGTTGCATTCCAAACTTTTATAAGATATCTAATAAATTCATTTAATTTTTAAAAAATGTCATCCCAAATTATTGATAAATTTAAACAATTCGATGCCTACGCAAAAACGTTAGAAGATTTCAAAGTAAAAACTGCTACTGGAGCAACGAGTTAGTGTGAATTTATTTATTTTTTGTTTATACATACTTTAATAAATTACATATTAAAATGATTATTTCATGATTCGTTTCAGTTACCGTAGCCGGCATATTCGTTATGATTTTATTATTTCTTTCGGAGTTATACACCTATATGTCACCAAATATATCAGAGGAACTGTTTGTAGACACATCAAGGGGGCATAAGTTACGAATCAATTTTGATATAACTGTTCCCAGTATATCTTGTAGTTGTAAGTAAAATAATAACCATAATAATTAAATTTCTTCGATTTCTTTGTAGTGGTAAATATAATTTTGCAATTGCCAGCATTGTTAGAATAAAATGTTGTAACACACATATGTTATGATCTGATTTCGACATGTAATATAAGTTATACAAGCATGCACATAAAAAATGTACAACTGTAATTATTGTACATCTTTATCAGCCTGTAATTAATTCTGCTAGACATGGACCTCTCCTATTGTAGGAAAATTTTGCCATAACCGCTATGCTTGCCAGGCAAATTAATAATTCAGTACCATAAGTTTAGCACCTTTGATGCTGCTCCGCATGGCATATTTGATTATTTTCACCTAATATATTATATAATGTTTCATAAAAGGCAATCTATGGGGAAGGCCAATGTTCAGCAGTGGCCTTTTGATGGGGCTGTGATAAATGTATGTACACAAGTAAAGTTTTGCCTTTACACCCCTTACGACACCCACACAATTAGTTGTACGATGAATTAAACTTAATAGCTATATATGAAATAGGTATAAACAACTGTTTTTCAGATTTAGTACTGGATGCAATGGATTCTTCTGGTGAACAGCACCTTCAAATGGACCATAACATTCATAAACGAAGACTAGACCTTAATGGAAATCCTATAGATGAGCCAAAAAAAGAAGAAATTGCTGTTTCTTCAACAGTATAAATATATTATTATTACATAAATTTATTTATTATGATAAATATTTCATAAATGTAAACTTTTCTAAATACACTATTTTTTTTAGATAAAACAAAACACTTCTGAATTGGCTACAATTTCCTGTGGTAGCTGCTATGGAGCTGCATTTAACGATTCACAGTTAGTACCTGCAATTCTTTAGTTCTTTTTATCACAATACATTAGAAATGTTATAATGAAATATTATCTTTTGATAATTCATTTAATGTTTGTAACACTGACGCTTTTTTGCACATGCATATTGGCAATTTTAAACACACATATGGAAAACATGTGAATACATTTTGTATATGCAAATAGAAATGCAAATCCACCTTTCCAACTTGTTTTTTAAACATTTGCATGCACATTTATCGCTAAGGTGGCTCACTAAATGTACAACTATTTTGAGAACACAGTATAGTTCTGTTTTATTTATACATTACTTCATTGGCCACGTTAAACATGTAGTGTTAATGTCCACTCCTGGACAAAGGTCACCTGTTATAGGGAGGATTAGCCTTAATTGTCACTCTGCAGGTGGATTGATTATTATGTTACTAGTACCAGACGGAATGCGTTTATAGTGTGGATATATTAGTTTAAATAATATGGTATATCACCATCTTTAGGAAGCCATAGTTCTTTCTTAGTATTTCCTATAGTCGCCCTTTACGATACCCACTGGATGATACAGAATGATAGATTTTCTTACACCACCACCACACAGTTGTTTAATAATCAGTCTGTAGCAGTCCACTGCTGGACATATCATCTGCATATCTTCCAAGGTGCGCTACTTAGCCTGATCTCCTATTGGACTACATTGCCTTACTTCATTTACATAAGCCTGGTTTCCACTCTATGACATGTTTACCATTGCCACCTCACCTCGTTTGCTTGTTTTTTTGGCTTCCTTCAATTATAATAAAAATAACATAATATGTTTTATTTGCTATATTAACTAAAGATATGCTTAAATTTGCTCTCCATAAAAAACATAACATAAACATAAACACTCACGCCTGTCACCCAGAGGGGTAGGCAGAGACTACGGACTTCCATTTGGCGCGATCCTGACACACCTCTCTCGCCTCTTTCACATCCATATATCTACGCATACACGCTCGTCGGTTAAGGGTACTCCTAATCTGGCCCATTTTCAATGTATCGCCGATCTGGTCGATAAACCTTCGTCTAGGGCGTCCCTTCCCGACCCTGCCGTTCACTTCTGCAACATAAATTTGCTTTGTCACTCTTTCCTCGTTCATTCTTTCTACGTGACCAAACCACCAATTTGCTCTCCCTCTCCTCATAAATGAAAACAAAGACATGTACAGGGATAATAAATTAATACATTTGTAATCTGTTTATAGTTAAGTCAGTGATATTTTTTTACAATAGTTAAATTGTTTATTTCCCTTATTTTAATATATGGAGATGTTTGTCAGTTTCGTTCGATAACTTTTTTAAGCTGTGCTGAAATTAAGCCACACCAAGAATGCGCTATCTAGCAGCATTGCTTGGAAGATTTGCCCATAGCGTACTGAACAGATTGGTCGATAAGTGTCCTAATTTCCTCAATACCCTATCGCCTCAGAGCCTTGCCGACTCTTTTTCCATCACCAGTCCATGGTGTTTGAGGTTGTCGTTTTTACTTGATCAATATATACACCTGTACACCAATAATGTGTAATATGTGATAGTCCATAATTTGTTATATGGCATATTATGCATTTCTTCAAGATGTTGTAACACCTGTGAAGATGTAAAAGAGGCATACAGACTCAGAAGATGGGCTCTACCGGACTTGGCCACTATTGTGCAATGCAAAGATGATGAATCACTAGAGAAAGCTAATTTAGCTCTAAAAGAAGGTTGCCAAATATATGGTTACATGGAAGTAAACAGAGTAAGTTTTATTTTAAGAAGTCTTAACCAGTGTCAATCTTATTAAAAAGTGGTTTACACAGTCATCATCATCATCATCATTACAGCCCTTCACAAGTCCACTGCTGAACATAGGCCTCACCCAAGGAATGCCACAAAGAATGGTCACGAGCCACCTGCATCAATCGACTTCCTGCATAACTTACCAGGTCATCACTTCATCTAGTGGGGCGACGCCCTACACTTCGCCTACCGGTACGAGGCTGCCACTCGAGAACATTTTTTCGCCATCGGTTGTCAGTTCTTCGAGCTATATGGCCGGCCCATTGATACTTCAGCTTACCAATCTGTTGGACTACATCGGTTACTCTAGTTCTACTGTGGATATCCTCACTTCTAAGCTTATCACGCAGAGAAACCTCGAGCATAGCCCTCTCCATAGCTCGCTGAGTGACCTTGTGCGTCCTCATACGGCCAGCAGTGAAGGACCACGTCTCAAATCCATAAGTCATCACTGGCAACACGCACTGGTTGTACAATCTCGTTTTCATGTTTTGAAGTATACCTTACTCACAGGAGACTATCAATCTTGGGTTTAAAGAAGAATCTTTAACATGAAGAAATAAATACCTTAGCCAAGACAACAGTTTTGACCTGTTCGATGAAGTGATGTGTCAAAAGTGTGAAATGTCAGTACTATGGTCACCAAGCGTGGGGATTAAGTTAAACTTCCCTAGACTTCACTGCTAAACATATGGTCACTGCAGAACACTATATACTGTTGCAAAGTACGATATGTATTGATATAAATCAGAAAATCATTAATATAATTCAGAGTATAATATATTTATACGAGGTCTGTTCAAAAAGTATCGCGAATTTTGAATGTTCGCGGGCTACGGATATTTGATTTTTAATTTTTTTGTAGCCTTATGTTTGTACTCATGTCTCTTACTTATGCTGACAAGGTCGGCCATTTTGAATGTATAGTTAATTTTTGACAGCTGTTTTGCTCGGATGTGTTTTGGCGCGCCTTCGATTTTTGCCTATTCCAAAAAATAGATCAAAGAATCTGTATTAAATTTTGTGTGAAAAACAAACAAAATGCGCGGACGCATTCCGAAAGTTAACTGTGGCATATGGTGAAACTACTTTGGACCAAAGCAACGTTTATCGGTGGTACAAAATGCAGCATTGCCACTTTAGTGATTATATCACTAGATCTAGTGAATTTCTAGAGTTAGATAGTGATATTCTGAAAAAAAAATCACTAAAATATTATTTAATATTTAAAATAAAATTAGAAAATACATATTGGCAATCCTCTTAACCTGTCGGTGAATTCCCTAGTTTATGTCAAAATAGCACTATCCTTTTCTCACTTATCAAAAACGTAATTAGACGTCTTTGTTTGATAATGCTAACCTACCTTTCGGGGATTTCCCGACTAATAATATGATTAACTCGTATGTTAAAATTTGTTTCAGTCTTTAAGTGAGTGCTGAATAGTGTATACTATTGCTCGTATTTCGTTAGTTTCTAGTCTTCGTGCGCGAAAGTAAGTGGTTGTATCGAAACAGTTTAAGTTTTAAATTGTTTGTGAAGTATCTCTTATTTATTTTGCATTATTATGAACGTGCAACTGAAATAATTTAAAATTAAAAATTTTGTACAGCCGACTTCAATATAAGTTATTTAAGAATAACTTAAAAACTATTGGTCTGACCTTGATCAAATTCATATGGGACCACACGAGAAGTACCAGCTTTCAAATAAAAAAAGAATCATCGAAATCGGTTCACCCAGAAAAAAGTTCTGAGGTAACACACATAAAAAAAAAACGAAAAAAAAAACATACAGTCGAATTGAGTACCGGCTCCTTTTTGGAAGTCGGCAGAAAAAAAAAACTCTTTATTCACAAAAATATCGGAAAGAATGCGAAATCAAGAAGAATTCCAGATATGGTTACTGCCTGTAGCAAACGATCCTACAAAAGCCTTTTGTACTTTTTGTCATTGTGAAATATTTGCAAGACTTGGCGACATTAAAAAGCACAGAGAGACAAAAAAACACAAAGATAAATCTGACTTAGTGTCTAAAAATCGACAAATTGAATTTCTGCCCGCTTCTAAAAATAATACAGACACATTAAAAGTCGAAGAAACTTTGTCCCTGTTCATTGCAGAACATACATCCATACAGCAAATTGACCACTTGACTGAAGCTTTAAAAAAATGTATTACTGATTCAAAGAGTTTTATGGATATGAAAATGCACAGAACGAGATGCAGTGCAATAATGTTCATTGCAGAACATACATAATAAAGAATGTATTAGCTCCACATTTCAAACAGATGCTATTGGATGATGTTGGATCACAAAAATATTTATAGTGTACTATTAGATGAAACCACTGAAAAAACACTGATACACTGACCTCAGTGTATCAAAATTATTGGGCATAGTAATTAGATATTTTAGTTGCAAGGAAAATAAAATTGTATCCGCATTTCTAGAATTAGAACCACTGAGGAGCGCCGATCCTCGTGGCATTGTTACTGTCTTGGTAAACTGCTTACAAGAACATGAAACATTATTGGTATTTAAAAAACGTGTTAGAGATTATTTCTTTGCATCCTGTTAATTAATATATATTATTTTATTATTATTAGGTTATATATATTATATGTAGCTATTGTATGTATTATTTTTATGTATGGTATTATTTTATTTTTATTTATAGTATCATTTAATATAATTAACGTATGTTTTTTTTTGTATTTTATTTATAGTAGTATTAGTATTGTACGCACTAAGTTTGCCTTTTTAAATATATTTTCCTTTGTGGGTCTACTGTAAGATATTTCAGCAAATTATGGAATAAGTAGAACCTTTGTACAAACTCACTATTGGGGTGGATAATGCTTCTGTTATGACTGGAGTAAATAATGGCGTACATAATATATTAAAAACGGAATATGGCGTGTCTAATTTAATTCTAATCAGATGTGTTTGCCACTCATTGCAATTAGCCGTTTCACATGCGTCAGAGCACACGTTACCACGAAATATAGAGTTTCTCATTAGAGAAACCTATAATTGGTTTTCACATTCACCTAAACGCTGTGATGAGTACAAAAATATATATGAGACAATAAATTGTGGCGAGAAGCCTTTAAAAATATTGCGCTCTTGTGATACTCGTTGGCTGTCCGTCGAAGAAACTGTGACCAAGATACTGTCTCAATGGGAAGAACTAAAATTAAATTTCTCTTACAGAGATAATTGCTACACAGCAGATTTGCTTTATTCAATGTATGCCGATGAGGTTAATCGCCTATATATATGCTTTTTAAAGAGCATCTTGAATGATGTCCAAATTGGAGTTAAAAGCTTTGAAAGTGAAGACGCAAATCCAGTTGCTCTACCGAACACATTAATGACATTGCGTCGCTCTATTTGCAATAGAGTACTTAAGCCGTCGGCTGCAACTACTGACAAAGATTATTTGTGTCCATTGAAATAGAAGCACACTTGAATCCGGTACCGTGTTTAGGATATCTTTTTGAATCACAAGTACAAAGGACCTCTTTACCCAATGATGTCATCAGTGCAAAACAGTCAGTGCAGAAAACGTTGTATTGATTTCACTATCAAATTAGGAAAAGAGATTCAGCAAAGACTTCCTTCGACTTATATCATTTTGGAGAAAATGTGTCTATTGAGTGTGGAAAATACTCTTCGCCAGGGCAAAGACAACAAAATAGCAGATCTTGCCACAGAACTCGGATTTGATGACAAAACAATAGACAAACTGTTACAGCAATGGCATGGTATAAATTATATTAAATGGAATGCTACACATAACATAATTGATTTCTGGGCTGAAGTTCGAAAATATAAGAATGCTGCTGGAATAACCACCTTTCGGGAGTTATCTGATCTCGCTATATCCGTTTTGTCACAAAATGGCTGTAACAAAATGGCTGTAAACACTTAATAGCATTCTCTTCATTAGACATCAGTTGAAGATAATGAAGAAGAACTGTTACAGTTACGAGCTCCCGGCTGATGTAATTACTGCTATTGGTAGCAATTCTAAATACTCTTATAAATCAATAAAGTCTAACAAAATTGATGATCCATCTCAGCCGTCGACATCTGCAATAACAATCAATCAAGATGATGAAGAAATACCAGCAGAAGTATTTGATGTTGATTTTTAGCTTTTTCTATGATAAGTGTATTCTCATTATTTTCACAATTAAAATTGTATTTTTATTACCTATCTTGTTATTTTAATTTAAATAATTTGGTGAAATCTAGGGATTTTTTACTCAAAATATTCCAAAATCTGGTGATATTTCAGACCATAACTAGTGATAAATTTTTCTGCAAGATGGCATCACTGACAAAATGATCTCGGAGGGCCGAGAAGATGTGAACGACGAACAGCGTGCTGGACGCCCGAGCACGTAAACAACAGACGATAACATTGATAAAGTGAAGAAAATATTGTTGGCCAATCGTCGAATCACCGTTAGAGAAGTTGCTGAGGACCTAAATGTGCTCCAGAGGGTCATAACTGGTGACGAATCGTGGGTTTATGGTTATGACGTGGAAACCAAAGCTCATCTCCCAATGTAAGCTGCCGCATGAGCCAAGACCGAAATAAGCGCACCAAGTTCGGTCGAACGTGAAGGTTTTGCTCACAGTTTTCTTCGATTGCAGGGGCGTGGTGCATCATGAGTTCTTGCCATTGGGTAGTACGGTCAATAAGGAATATTACCTACAAGTTATGCGCAATTAGCGCGAAGCAATCCGCCAGAAACGCCCGGATTTGTGGAAGAACAAAAACTGGCTTTTGCACCATGATAACGCCCCTGCTCACACATCGTTGCTTATGCGCGAATATTTATCCAAAAACAACACAGTAATGGTCCCACAGCCACCGTATTCCCCAGACCTTGGCCCTGTGACTTTTCCTGTTCCCGAAACTGAAGAGCCCCATGAAAAGGCGACGCTATGCCACGATTGAGGAGATAAAGACGGCATCGAAGGAGGAGCTGAAGAAGATCACGAAAAATGATTTTTTAAGTGCTTCGAGGATTGGAAAAAACGTTGGCACTAGTGCATTATATCCAAAGGGGATTACATTGAAGGAGACAAAATAGATATTTATGAATAAATAAATACTTTTTGAAAAAATACAAAATTCGCGATACTTTTTGAACAGACCTCGTATGTTGATGTTATAGGTGGTGCTTTGAATTTACAAAATATTTACTAAACATATTTTTGTGATATTTCAACTAAAAAGAAGCATATTTCTAGGTTGGTGGGAGTTTTCATATAGCCCCGGGAAAAAGTTTCACAATAAATCATGTTCATGTTCATGATGTGCAACCATATTCTTCATCAGCATTTAATACAACACATTATATCAACCACTTGTCATTTGGTACCAATATAAAAAGTGCTAACACAGCACCTCTGGATGGAGCTAAAGGATTAGCCAAAGAAGGTAAGATGCAGTCTTATTATCATAAAATATAACCAATAAATGTATTGTAGGCTGCAGTTCACAAAGAAACGGATAAATATCAACACTATACCTAAAAAAATATTACATCATAACACAAAATTAGAAGATAATAATTGAAGATCTTAAAAGATGAAGAAATAATATTGTAAATATATATTGTCAGTGTGTATGTAATCGAACTCCTAAGCGGCTGGACAGATTTGATGAAATTTTTTGTATGATTAAGTTGATTCAAGAATGGTTTAGATTCACAATTAGACCCGGTAGGTGGCGCTGTTATCGAGATTCAAAATTCACCCGTGTGAAGCCGTGGTGGATCTCTAGTATTTCCTATTAAATTATATCAATTATTTTAGGTACATTAAGTCAAATATAGTTAAAAAAATCGTTTTTCTCCGGCAGTGCTTCTTATTAAATGAACATTTACATCGAGCCACTATCTGCGGATATGCTTCCGTGCCGTGTGGAGTGGGCATAAAAAACATAGCCATGTCAAATGTAGTCATAAACAGTGAACAAAGACAAAGTTACATACATGATTTGCCCGAGATTGTCTCTTCAAATGGGCGTGGTGAGCCTATTTCGGATGCGTGTTGTTGGACCGCAGCAAGCGGGGTGTCTTCTATCCCTGCCCGTCACAATTGAGGAGTCGCGGGCAAGCGATGTTGTTTTGGCGATGCGCCCAATCGCCTTATCCTCCATGACGCTGGCGGGGCCGCTGTAAGACCACTGGCGAAGAGGAGTATCGATTAAGATAGCGATTCTCTTGCTCTCTCTCTCTCTCAGAAAACCGCGGAGGTTTTAGTTCATGCCAGTCATACATAACATGTCATTGCCGTCGCGAGGAGAATATGGGTCGTCATTTCCCCGTGAAAAAAGTACCCAGGACCTGGTGCCGCTACCTCCGCTTTGTCAGCAGGGTTCCAAGCCATTCCAGTAATCAACTTCACCTCATTAGAATGGTACATTCTTGAGGCAGACTCTCCGTTTTATAATCAATGGTGTCTAATGAAAAAGGACCTACCTATATTAACATGAATAGGTAGTTATTGTAATCCCTTTTTCAAACCAGTTATACAAAAAGTATTAAATTGAACCAGGTCTCTGTCAATCTTGCTACCAGCGTGAAATAATTAGCTACAAATCGTGAGCTACCCCAGGAGTAGATCGCAGTCGGGGCTAGCGCGCTCTATATGATTGAATGTTGGTTTTTTAACGCTGTTTACGTAAATAATTTTTTGTAAATACTTGTTGAAATACTCGTCGAAATAGTTTTTGTTTAGTGTTTAGTATATTTAATTGTAGGATAAAATTGTTCAAAAAGTTTTAATATAATTTAAGAATAATATATTATATGTACATTACTTATCTATTTGATAAATTATAATGGCAAAACGTCGTTCCTACTATAATCGTTGCTGGGATGGATGCTTAATGAGCAATTCAAAGGATTCAGATATATCATTTTTGAGTTACCGAAGGATAATGAAAGGTAAATTTATTTCATTTTTTTTGTTAGATAGGTACTTATAGCGAAAAAATAATTAAGTAATAATTTAACTACAGAAGTAATACCTAAGTACTTTATTACAAAACTTAGTTGAAATTTACTTCACTACCCAAGTACCTACTTATTACATACTATACTCGTCTTTGTAATTCAAATATTTTAAGTTATAACATAAACATAAACACTCACGCCTGTCACCCAGAGGGGTAGGCAGAGATTATGGACTTCCATTTGGCACGATCCTGACACACCTCTCTCGCTTCCTCCACATCCATATACCTACGCATACACGCTCGTCGGTTAAAGGTACTCTTGATTTGGCCCATTTTTAATATATCGCCAATTTGGTCGATAAACTTTCGCCTAGGGCGACCCTTCCCGACTATGCCGTTCACCTCTGCAACATAAATTTGCTTTGTCACTCTTTCCTCATTCATTCTTTCTACATGGCCAAACCACCATAAGTTATAGTAGCACAAAATACTGAAATTAAAACTTTGTTTACAAGATTTTCAACTAAGTAGATTACGATCATATTTCTGTTAGGAATCGTATTTCGGGTTTATTTGTTGTTTACGCTATCTACCTATACGAACCAAGCATCGCGATTCCCGACGAATGGCCTTGCAAGTTGCATGCGTTGGGCATCACAGAACTCACATAGTAGATAATATGGTCGATTATAGTCAGCATAGGTACTTTACCTAAGTAACTTACCATTTTACAACGTATTTTTTTTACTCTTTATTAACATCCCTTAGCAACCACGGAAAGTCCGTTGTGACGTAGTAAGGAGAAAAGATGCAAAGTAATACGGACACTCGCGCGCAGCGATAAAGTTTATTTTGCTTTCGTGCGCGATTTATCTGATTAATAATAACTATGTAGGCTATTAAAACGTCGGCACGCAGTCAACATCAAAAGAGTGCTACTTCTGTACGTAGTACTATTATTTATTCTGTGACTGAAATGGTAAAATGATAACAGAATCAACTTGCTCACTATAAGGAAACCATAATTGGTCCGAATTTCTGTTCCTCCCAAAGAAACCAGTTTCTTAAAGGATTTAGTACCATAGAGCTGAAGAGGATATCTGCAGACAAACAAGAGTAACTGTTTAATATCAGCAGATCCGTAAGCTTTTTTTTATATTTTGACCTTTTAAAGCGCATAATTTTAAGATATACACCCATATTTTGTAATTACCAAAAAAAAATAATAAGTGCTCTCAGTGTTTGTTATTGATCACATTAGGTAGACAAAATTTAGTTACTCGTTTATTATAGTAGGTACGTATAATAGATTGATTGATTGAGTCCAATTAGATCCATTCATAAATCGCTTACCGTCTCGCCACGCACCGGCCGGCATTCATTTCGTGAGCCGTTGAAGTAAGCGAGAGAACACGACGAGTGAGAAAGGAGTTGTGATGTAAGATACTGTACTAATGGTGGAATATGAAACGGGAGCTGCTTTGAATGGAGTGCATAAGTTATTGACTTTTGTAGTAATTTCTAGTACTGTGCTAATAAAATTACTCCAGTTGTTGGATAAAAACAAGCGTCGATAACATTTTAATAAAATTTCTCTTTGGCACCTCTTGATACCCACAGGGTTATATTATATGAACATTGATGTACTATTTTTCAGTATATAATATAAAAGGATAGGAATGAAACTTGTATCCTTCGGAAGATACTGAAAGATACTGTGTCGAGATTTGAAAACAAAAGAAATTCTTTTGTGTATGTGTGTTTGTTGCCATTAAGGTTGGTAAAATAATATTTATTAGAATAAATATAAATAATAATAAAAAATTGATAGTGCCACATTGGTCACTAATAAAAATAGATACACAATCAGTGACAAAAAATGCCCTTACCGAATGAGCGCCCACTCGAACATTTGGGTGCGCTTTTAATCTAGTAGCATTCGAATGCTCCGACGGTAAACATTCCTCAGTGCTCATTTAAAGTGTAAAAATCACACATCCACGACGCTATAAAAGGATAAGAATTTTCGGTAAGTACTAATATTATCATTATTTAATTGTTATCACTATTGTAAATACTGGTATTTTGGCAAGAAATTATCGTAAAAACATTTTTTAAATTATTAACTCTTTCATTGTCCAAGCGACGAGCCTCTGTCGTAAAATTTGATTGCTTTTTTTTTGGCACTTTGTAATTCTAACTTTAAAACATTCGTGTAAGGTTGAACTTGTTTTGATATAGGTTGACCAGCAAGTATTGGTCATAAAAATTTCTAGCTTTTTGTACGTAGTTTTGTGAATACAACTTTAGGCAATGCATTTAAGTTTGAATTTACGTTAATGTATATTTATATCAACTAAAATGACGTCAAAACAATTGGCGACAGTTTTTATAGAACTTGTGCATGGGATTGTGTATCTAAGTTTTTTTATTAGTGATTGATGCAGTGCCATTATCAACAAAAGCATCTGCTGCAACTATGCTTAATTTTTTTTTTGGTACATTCAAAATAATGGTGTATAATAGCGCAGACTTTAATAAAAATAATTCAAATTGTAAATACACTGTTATTTATATTTTTAGCTAGTGTTAGACCAAATTTCTATCAATATTAAACATTTGTCTTCAGACGAAGGTTTTAACCAAAGCCAAAATTGGCCCAAGTTTCTGCCAGAGACTAGCCTTCAGAAGGACATTAAATATTAGTATGTGTTCTGCTGTATTAAAAACAACTTTTAAAGATGAAAAGTGTAAAATTTACCTTCCTTACGTCGTAACATCTTCTAACTCTCAAAATCTTCATTGAAGTGAAAGATTTACTATATTATACTAGCTGATACCCGCGACTTCGCTCGCGTTAGTTTTTATGTTTTCGCGCGGAACCCTAATTCTTTTTCGAAAATAAAAGTAGCCTAAGTTACTCCTTATGAAATCAGCTATCTGCCAGTGAAAGTCCCGTCAAAATCGGTCCAGCCGTTTCGGAGATTAGCCGGAACAAACAGACAGACAAAATTTTTTAAAATTCTATGTTAGTTATAAGTACCGTATTTACTTTCATATGCATATAGTAAAAAACTGTAATTTTGACATTACAAACAGAAAATTTTATTTATTCATCTCAAGGAATAAAGCAGATACCACTAAACATGATATTTACTAAATATTAACTCTTTCTAATTGTTTAAATACTTCATTCTTATTACCCTATATAAAATTTTAAGCAAAAATAATACAAGTAACAATTGAACAAACATTTTCAATAAGATTGATTCAGGGATCTATCAGACAAAAGGCATTCACGCGTTCCACGTTTGCGTTCTGCGTACGTTGTTTTGTATTACGTTACATAGACATACCCAGACAGCAGGCATTCTGAAAGCGTCGGTCAGCCAGAACACACGCGTTCGCTGCTGTTTCTGTGTCCATATTAGAAGGAAGATGGATACTTCGAAATTGATTATGTTAGTACGAAAAAGCTTATTATATGATATATGAAGAATGATGATTATAAAAACCGAGGAGTAGCAGAAGCATTATTAGAAATTGCCAGAGAAATAGGGACTGAAAATAAATTATAATTTTTTTATCAGTAAGCCATTTATAAAAAAGTCTATGAAATTTTCCATCTTGTTCTTTATTCTTATTTACTGGGCACACCCAATGTTTCCATTTTGATGCTGTTAATGTCCACAATATCAAAAATTCATCTTCCGATGAAGATCTATAGTCAAAAATGATGGTGACTGTAGTGGCACCGCGAAAACCATCCAACAGTGGGATTCGTGAGCAACTGAATGCTCAAACACAGAACGCGGAACGCTTGAACCTTCCTGTCTGATAGAATCCTCAGATAATTTGGTTGAATAATATAATACAATATTGCACATCACAAGCAAATTTGTATCCACTTAATTCTTCTATCAATTAAAAGCAAGCAAAATGCTTTTGTTACAATAGGTCAGCTTGAAAAAATTAACTTTTATCATTTAATAAAAAGTAAAAGAAAACTTCAGAGCTAAAAATAACTAAATAACTTCACAGTCTGAAGTTCGTGCAAAGACAACGTTGTGTATGTAAGAATTAAGCCTCAACTTCAGAATGTGATGTGATTAATTTAAAGTTAAAAAAAATTACCCTTTTGAATAGATTAAGGAATATCACAATCTTAATATAGTAGATATTAAGGTTGTGACATATGGGATATTGGAATAGTTCCATTATAAATATTATGCCCTATTTTTCCCCTTAGTTTAATATGTTCATATGCTTAGGGATAGAATTACACCAATTTTAAATGACACCACCCAAGAAGTATAACCTATTTAATAAACAAAAGAATCATCAAAATCAGTTCACAGTTGACGAAGATATTGTGTGACGTACATACAAAAAAAATGTTTGAATTGATAAACTCCTCCTTTTTGGAAATCAGCTATAAACGTCACGAACTAAACTTACACCAACATTATTTAAAAAGAAGTCAGTCTACATACTAAATATTATTTTATTTACACATTAAATTAGTTTAGGAAACTATCAGCAGCGTATTCCAGTACCAATTGCCATAAAAGTACCAAAGGTTCCTCCACCTTGAAGCATTACTTTCCCTACAGAATGAACTAATTCTCGTCCTCGAGCACCATATCTGAAATAATACTTTATGTTTAAAACTCAATCGTACTAAAATCATCTTAACAATTTTATTTGAAGATGAAAATTAAAATAACCTTAAAGCTGTAAAACCACCAAACAAACCGCCGCTAGCCATACCAACACAAAATCCAATCATGAAACCCATTTTCATTTTATCGAAACAAGAAGGCCCTTGGCTTTGGTAAACGCCTCCTGGTATTGGCATTTTTAATTTTGAATATTAACTTTCCTCTATAAGAAATTTCCTAAGACAAAAATTTAAGTGCGTTTTGTTTGACACAGAGTAATAGTAGTAACAAGTGACAACCACAAACTATATAGGTGACAACTGACAAATCAATATCTCAAAAATTAATTTTTTTCTTCATTATTGCGTTGGGTACAAGGTTTTCAGCCAAGATTAGAATCAAATGTCTAATGTTGACTATAGTACGTTATTTTAAGTACATCGTATCTAGTTTTTGAGAGATTGAGGTTTGATTAGATTAGATATTAATGTTTTAATAGGCCTTTAGAAATCTACAAGTGCTCGACGTAGATTTTTACGTCGGATGCTCTTTATTATCAGTCAACATTATATTCTAAATTCTGTGTAAAACTCTTAACACTGATTTTATTACTACATTTTTTATGCAAGCTATAATATATCACTATATTGTTGGTCTTGTTGTAGTGTTCCAAATTACAATGCTTAAAACATATTAAAATTGCAAATTCTTTGTAAATTAGGCTTTGTTTTTAGTTTGTGTTTCTATTTAGCTGAAATCCGGGGACTAAAAAGTATACCTACGTACGAATTAATTTAGTCCATTGCTGAAGACAGGCCTCAGGATGATTGCTATAGTTGCCACGCTTGGCAGACGAGTTGGCACTCGCAGTTTTTCGTTATCTAGTTGTTATTAGCAAGACACTGCTACCCATTACCTTTTTTCCACCATTTTCCATTCTCCTGTTTGCCACTTTCGCATTTCCTTATTCGTTTTTAAAATTCGATGACAGCGTCTATTTATTGAGTCGCATTTTGTAAACTATTTTTAGAATAGAAGTGTCTGAGAATTTCCTCTTATTCCCTCTACGTTTCAGTATACTTATGTCATATCGATAGATGGTGATGTAGCTGCCCTAATATGAATAAAAAAAATAGTGCGTTACACAATTAGTGTACGCACGTACGCAGTGAAACTTCTTTACGACATATCATTCACTTTTGTTTTATATTTTACATAAGTAGGTAAAATAATAGTATACTCATGCAGCCCCGGCGGTGAAACGTTACAAGAAAACGTGACCTTATTGATTTTTAATACCGTACTAAATTTCTACACAACGTAGATAAAGAAGTTTCACTTCCAAAAAAAGAAAAGTTACAACCGTATTATGGGACGGTAATTCTATAGGCATAGGCTTCCCCTCATATTTCAAATAGTCAGCCGCGCTGCTCAGCGTGTTGGAGGACTTCACATTTCGAAAATATATTGGCCGCTAGCGCTTAGCCCTTTTAAAAAAAATTAGGATATAAGTTAAGGTGAAGTAGGTGGAAACTAATATTTTAACTTTTGTATATACTATTTGTTTTCAGGCGCTGTTATGTTTCAGTACTACATAAAAATAGTTCCTACAATGTATGTTAAACTAGATAATACAGTATTATACACTAACCAGTTCTCAGTTACTAGACATCAAAAGTCAGTGTCTAATATTAATTCGGAATCTGGAATGCCAGGAGCGTTTTTTAGTTATGAACTATCACCCCTTATGGTAAAATACACAGAAAAGGAAAGGTAAAGTATTAAAAAAATATATAGGTTATAGTATCTTCCTTTTAGTTAAAAAATAATCTACCTTTTTACAATACGCAATAGCAAAATTAACTATAACTACATGAATACATAAATGTTGATTAAATATAGAACAAATCTATTTTATGACATAGTAATGGGGCTCAACGAATTTCGATCACGGCAGCCTGCGCAGGACAGGAATAGGTATAATATCCGTCATCCGACTATCGTCGTAAACTGCTACTAACACAAGCATTTTAACCTCACCAGGAGTGGCTGTAGGGAATAATGTTAATAGTATTGGTAGCATTAAAAAATCTGATGGGAAGACGGCAATCCGACTCAACCGGAGGAACTCCGGAAATATCCGACTTAACGCCTTTGATTTTTTATTAATTTATCAGACGTGCAGATTTCCTTACGATGTTTTCTGCACGTCACGAACGAAATTAACAATTTTCTTGGTGCCGGCGGGAACCGTACCCGAGTTGCTTGTGTACTGTAAAATTTACGGCGACCTCCAAGCACATGTGCTACTCTCAAGCTGAAACTTTTTAGAAATTGGTATTTATTAATTAATATGCATGCAAGGAATAAAAAGAATTCAAAAAATACACTACTCTTTATTGGCGCAATGGCACTAAGTCAATAAAACTGAATTCGGTTATGCGTTCACGGCATGTGTTCAGTGGCGTAGCAGGGGCTATTGAGGATGATACATGGCCCCGAGAGGCAGTTTGGGAAAGAAAAGAAAAGTCATCTCAATTTCAAGGGTCCGAACACGACAACGGCAACTACGAAAGCAAGTGTAAAACTCTGCTGAAATATTGCGTCCGGTTTAGAGGTAGACGGGTGCGGCACATGGCGCACAGCTACTCGTATAAGTTCAATAAGTCATAATTCATGGATTTTGGTTAGTAAATGTTAACAATTAGATCCATACTTATATAATATATATAGGATTTATGCAATAGCAGATATTTCCTACTTTCTTAAATTTTTTGCTTCTTGGAGTAAGTGGTATGACATGCAGAAAATCGATGATTGTGTTTTGTAGCATACCTTGGAGGAGGCCTATGATTTTTTGTGGGATAAGAAAAACGAACACAGTCCACCATATGTTAAGTGGATGCTATACATCTAACCTCAATTAAGAATCAAAATGCCGATGCATTGTCATACCTTGAGACTAAAGTGGAATGCCTCGTTTCCAGTTTAAAAAGTTTTTCGGTTATCTATCTTCTACTTACGAAACACAGCAGTATTAAGCTGCTATTGCACACTGTAATCTGTGAGAGCGTGGTTCTTCCCCGGTCGAGCAGACCTATTCGTGCTCCAACAATAATGTAGCTGCAGTATGGGTTTACTCTGCTGCCCATCGCCTTTTTCATTTCCCTCTACCGCATCTTATTTAACCTACAGGATGGTACCAGATAATGAATTTATATTAATTTCCGAATGTCTGTGAACTCGCGTAGGATGACTATAATTATCACAATACATGAAATAAATAATATTGTTATCATAACACAAAGTGAATAATCTACATAAGTAGGTACACATTTATCTGTAAACGTCGTACATTCATGGTATCTTAATAATTTTATAATTTAATCATTGGCTTTATTATTTACACATTGTGGCTGCGTTGCCTCCTGTCGGACGTCACATGTCTTCAAAATATGTTTTTTTAATCTCCATTACGTTTCCTCAATTCACAATGTTTTCCTTTACCGTAAATTTACACTTAAAGTTGTAATTAATAATTTCATCGGTACCCGGGCTGCTCCCGTGCATTTTACAGTGAATGCTTAGCCCCTAAGCAACCACAGTTCAAAGCAATCTTTTCTATGACCCCTCTAGCATAATACATGCTCGACTGTGGTCAGTTTCACTCCATCATTGCGACGTGAGTACGACACGAAGCTGCGACCAAGTGTTTACTAATACAGCTTCACCTCTAAATTAAAGATTTTCCCACACAATAGATTGCTGAAAAAGATTGTTTACCATCATCTTCGGTCCATTGTTATCGAATTCGTCGTTTAAATAAGTCAGTAGGTTTTTTTCCTACACACAATCAAGGTGCTCTGCAAAATATCAACTTGACAAAAAAGAACTTCAACTAAAAAAAAGCTCATTGACACCACAATTTTAAACACCTCAGCCCCCCAACTATGGGGTGTAAAGTGGCGGGAATTAAATATAAGTTTGACTTAATATACTCATACTCCGTATTATAATATTAAGTCTATGTAATTCCATTTAACATTCTGTGATTATTTAAAATAAATAAAACAAGTTTTTTACAAATAAATTATTTTCATATACTTATTGGTTATAAACTGTTACATAAATAATAATTAATCTTTGTTACAGATCTATCGGCCACTTTGCTACTAATGTCTGTGCCATTGTTGGAGGAGTATTTACAGTTGCCGGCATTATTGATGCACTCTTATATCACTCACTAAATACTTTCCAAAATAAAATGATGTTGGGTAAAGCTGGATAGACACAATTAAATTTACATAGTTTTTAAAAATGTGTTAAAGTCATCTACAAGACATTTAGCATATCTTTTACAAAAATCTTGATCTGTATCTTCAACTAAAGCAGATAATGGAACATAATTTTCTTTTGTGGTATCATATTGAGCCCTGCCCAATTTTTCCAAAAATATATGCCTTTGTTTTACTTTAAAATTCCTACATAGTAATATATTTGGGTAGTGTAATACTTTTTCATGTGGTATTTTCATTATATTGTGGACATAATTAAATCTTTCAAGTAATGAATTTTGACCTGCAATAAAGTATATAACACCATTAGTATTAATTAATAACTGAAATACAACTGGATGCATGAAGAGAAAGTAACAACCACCTCATATGAAATAAGTAAGTCGACTGTGGCCCATAGACATCTACATTATCCTTGATTAAGAATCAAGATGCAGATGTGTAGCTAGCTCCGAGGACTAAGATCGATTTCCTGTTCTCTACATTCACCATATGGAACACAGCAGCCTTAAGCTCCTATTTTACGCTGGTATTTTGTGAGTGTAGTGTTTATCAATCGTGTATTCTTTATTAATAAAATTACCCTTTTAAAACTGCTTTTTTAACACTTATTAGACAATCTTTGCGAGAGGCCTATGTTCAGCAGTGGACTTTCGTTATTTTGATATATGTTATAGAGATATATGATGATGATACAGCTTTTGTTATTTTAGGCCCTGTATATTTTCTAGGACTAAAAGCGTAAAGGTTTACATTTCACCATAGCTGAAATTCAGTCTGACAAATATTTGGTTATTTAGACATTAATATTTTTTTTTAATTTGAATCGGGTCTGGCCATTCAAACCTATTAGGCTAAACCAATCCTGATGAAACTTCACAAACAGAGAGCAAGAAAAGTAATAAGACATTTTTAATCAAGTAAAAAGAAATATTTAGGCAAAAATAAGATGTACTAGAATTATAAAAAATGTTAAAACAACTTACTTATCATCCATAGTTTTGGTTTTTTTAAAATTAACTGTTTTACTTCATTGTCATTAAAACCCATCTCTTCTTTAATAACAAAAGAATTTGTTTGAATATGATGGAGATTGTATGTTATTAAATTGGGTTGTTTAGTTGCCAAGTGTCTTACTTCACTACCACACAATTTAAATTTCTCTTGATAATAACCTAATCGTTTATCAATTCTTATTGTGCTGCAAGCAGTAAAAATAAATGATAATGCATAATTAAATATACAAATTAATACTCATCTTTATCAAATCTTTACAGCCTTTCACAAGTCAACAGCTTAATATAGGCCTTATCCTAGGAATGCCAAAACACTCAGGGACACTATCTAGTGGAAGCCGCCCTAAACTCCCTTACATGTATGAGACTGCTAAGTCAGGAACCTTTCTTCCCCATTAGCTATCAGTTCTTTAAGCTTTATGGCCAACTCATTGCCACTTCAGTTTGCTGATCCATTGGGCTATGTTGGTTACCCTTATTCTACTATTGGATATTATCATTTCAAACTATCATGCAGAGAACCTGAGCATAGCGCTCTCCATAGCTCCATGGTGACTTTGTCTTCACGTCAACACTGAACATCTTAGATCCATATGTCATCACTGGCAACACACCCTAGTTATACTCATGTTTTTAAGTTTGGGAGGAATATATGATAAGCAGATGTGTGGTGTCACAATCTCTTGAATGCTGCCTAGTCGAGTTGAGCTGTTTATGACATCTTGGTCATAGTTGGAACTTGATCAAAAAATTTGCTCTATAGGTAAACATACACATCAACAACTAAGTTTACTGGTACCAACAACTAGAAGTATATGTGTGACATGGACTTTACACATCACCTTGTCTTATCCATTAGGAGACACTATTGAGGTCACTGAGCATAGCGCTAAGGTCTTGCAGCAAATCTGCTATAATGTCTACATTGATGTTGATTAATCCTGTATCCTTTCCAGTCCAGTAGCTTGAAACTACTTTCAATGTAGTAGTGAAGAGTTTCAAGAGAGGATATAACATCACAATGTCTTACACTCTTCTGCAGTTGGATAGGTTTCATGCTGATTCTGTATTTGGATAGCCATCACAGCCTTACTGTTTTTTTTTTATGACAAAAGAGCACACAGTCTTCCTGATGTTAAGTACATACTGTGGCTTATAGACATCTACATCTATCCTCGATTAAGAATCAAAATGTAGATGTGTTGCCACCCCTGAGGACTAAGATTGAATACCTTGTTTCTAGTAAAAAGGGTCTGCAGTTCTCTACACCCACCACACGAATATTCTGTGAGATTGTGGTTCTTCCCCCATCGATCTGACCCATTCCTGTTACAACCATAGTATAGCTGCAGCATGGCTCCACCACGTAATCTACTGTACAAGCACTCCACACTTCTATATACTGACAGTCAATCTAGCACTATTGAAGGAGCACCCAAATTTTAACAAAATAAAAGGCTTTCTTCATTGTCAACCTATGCAAAATAATAGCAGATTATACAATTTCATTTTTGCAATTTGCCGAAGGGTAGTTATGTGGTCTATGATACTAAGCCCTTTTCAAAAACCAGTTTAGAACCTGGAACTGAAAAGGCTTACATATACAGCGAAAAGAAAATGGCCCTCTAGACCCCAGCGACCTTGTTATTCCTGGCTTCAGTGGCAAATTCACTTGTCACCTTCGACAATTCAGCCGGTACAAGCACTGGCAACAAATAATACTAAAAAAGGGAATAACTTATGATGTATTACCTGAACATAAGCCAAAATGGATTTTGTGTAATTATTCTTCTTATTGATTCATTTTTAAATTTTTTTGATTCTAAATAGTTCACTCTTATCTTCAGGTCTTCTACAGTTTCAAACAAAATTAAAGGATTTTTTGTTAAAAAATTACCAATATCCTCTACACCTACATAATCCTTAATAAACATAAGAATCCCTTTAGTGTCCTCTTCTTCAAAATTTAACTTTAATATTTTTTCAGCAACAAAAGGTTTCTTCTCAATTTTGCTAAGATTTACATTTAAGTGAAGTAAAGTCTGCAATGTATCTGAACTATTAACATACGCTGCTAAATTAAATGACTTGGGAAAATACGAGGTAATTACGGATAAATCTTCCGATGTTGTTTGCAGAGCATTATTTTGTTTCTGTTGCACATTTAAATCATGATTTGTAAGATCAAAATTATAACCAGAATTATGAAAACGTCTAGCGTTATTTAACGCATTAATAACTGAAAGTCTCTTTAGGATGCACCTCATTTTAATTTTGATAAATGAAGTTCTTCATGATGCACATAGCACTAAGTAAAATGTAATCTGTGGTACTAATTACTTAGCTTATTAGTTCAATATCCACGTTCCATGATCATGTTTATCTTCACCCCCAAACTAATAAGAAGAGAAATTATTTTTTTCAGTTCATTAAATTATTAAATAAAAAATTGATCACTTTCCATAGATTACTGTATGTATTTTTTTTTGGAGTTTATGGCCTGGTATCTAGACCTTTAGGCCAAGTCTTAAGTATTTTTATTCGGTTTATTGTAATTTCCCCACTCCTTCATAGTATACTGCTTCACAATATGTTGATGCGTCACATTGTGCAGTTCTTGGGAGATTTTGGCGGCAACTTGATCCAGCAGACAGCTGATAGTTGGCGATGGTATCTAAAGGTGCCTATGCAAACAAACAGCTTATCTTGAGAATCCATCACCATCAGAGCACTTGTTTCACTGTTTCCACTAATAGTTCACATGCGTAGACACTTAATACACAAAATCGCAACACTTTTACATATCAAAGTCCACTTCAAACCATTATTTAAACAATAATACAGGAGCAGCAAACCGCCGCCGGTCAATTTCCCGCCAAAACTCGATTACTGTATGTATCACAGAACCAGTGTTGCCAACTGCTAGCTTTACCTAGTTGCTAGTAGAGATGGGTAACTCAGGAAAGATAGATACAAAATACATTCGGATGCGGATATAGTTAAAAGTGAATAAGTTGTAAAGATACACTGATACAGTGATCTGTATCAGTGTATCTTTACAACTTATTCACTCAAGACATCTTTTAACTTTTTCTAACATCTGTGTCGCACATTGCGCACACTGCTTTTTATTATACCTCGGCCGGCACGGCCGGTCGTTGCAGGAAGATTTCGGAAAGTCCATAGTACAGACGTTTCTTTCGCAGGTCACTATTTAGAATGTTCTGTCGCGCTTTGGCAAGACGGAGAGAGTGAGTTGTTTGACCATTATAAACTGTAATACGTTAGCACAAAAAGGTAAATTGATAACTATATGACTGGTGCATAGGGCTTAAAGTCATTAAGCGGTACGTTAACATTTAAGTATTATACTGGTTTGAACTGTACCTATGTGTACTTTGCCTATAATTTTTTTAGTAAACAATGCAAACTAATTTCAGTTATAAAACCATAGTTTTTAAGAAAGTTTTATAATCAAAATTAATAGTCGTTTATACCCATAAAAAAGTAGAAAAAAGATTTGTGATTTACAAAATTAAACTTAAGTAAAAAAATTAAGTTTGCTTCATTAGTTCAACCTTAATCTCGGTTTGGAAACGAAAGTAATATTGTTTGCGTTAATTGCATCGAATAGAAAAATATTTGAAGTTGTTTTGTACACTTGGTGACTGTTTAATTTAAATGTAGGTAAATAAGACATACGCAGCAGGCATGTTTTCAAGAAGCCGAAACTATATAATATATATTTTCTACAAATTAATACAAACAATACCTACCCTACCTACGTTATTTACGTTAATCATTAATTTAATTATTATTATAAACTAAAAATTTAAGTTAATTTCTCGAATAAGTGCCTATTAATATTTATCAATCATAACAATAACAGCGCTCGCTGTAAAGTTCACAGTACGCAAGCAACCCGGGTTCGATCCCCGCCGGCACCAATGAAATTGTTAGTTGCAATTTTAAGTGCTGATTTACCACGTGCTCGGCGATGAAGGAAAACATCGTGAAGAAACCTGCATATCTGAGAAATAGGAAAACTTTAATTTTTTTATCATAACAAATAGATACCTACCTAGAAAGAAACAACAGCCAAATATATCAGAAAGATACACAATGTTACAACCAAGCAAAATGCAATCACCTCTATAGGTACTTATCTATCACTCTTACTGATAGGATTGAATTGAGCGAAGCGAGCCACGCTGAGTGAGCAACGCAACGTAATGCGATGCGTGTCGTGAAAGCGAGCTTGATCTACTGATACATAAGGATATAAAGATATAAAAGAGTGATACACATCCAAGTGATCAAAAGATACATATCAATCATTTCTTTTAAGTGATACACATTGCCCATGTCTAGTTGCTAGACATTTTTCAAAATGTTGCTAGATTGACAGTTTTTTTTATCCCAAAAAGTTGCTAGAAGTAGCTAAATGTTCCGGCATGTAGGTAGATTACAATAAAATGTCAATTTCTGACAATAATTTTTTTTTCATAATTTCCAACAAGAGAGTTAAAATGTCTTGTGTACTGTCAAGAGCAATATTGTGTAAACAACATAGGACTATATTATATTATATTTATTGAATTCTATTGTGGTACAGATAGTTTTGTTTCGGAACACTTAATGTGCCAAAGTTCTATGTTTACATTTTATTGCTCATGACTGTACGTTATTGAATAAAAAGATAAGTTAATACTTATTAAGTATATATTGATTATAACTAATCAATCAAAGAAGATGTCGATGGTTGGGGTTCAGTGTCTATCGTCGTTAATTTCGAATATTTTTTAGCGGTGCCCATTTTATGCAGTACATCTTTAGGCAAAACACAGTTATAGCAGCATTTACCACTTTTCCTGAGGGAGTCTCTAATGCAGAGGATTGAGTTCAGAGTTATCAAACTCATTCGGTTCCTTTGTTTATTTTTTATTAAATTAATTTGAGAGAATAACCTCTCTACCTCTGCATTAGAATGTGGCAGTGAAAGGCAAGTTAAAGCAAGAGTACTTATATGTTGTCACCGGAAGAATTTCTAAAATTTTTTACTTCGACCCAAATTGCACTATTTCTTGAGAATGCCACTTATTTATATGTAGAATGTGCCACTGTTGCATTATTTTGTCTATTGTTTCCGGTGTAAATCCCAAGATTTCAGCAACCTCGATGACAGTGTTTGACTTGATTGGTTTTATTGCCTCTACTGGACTTAGCAACGCCATTGATACTAACTGCTTGTAGTTGTCTGGAAGTCTTTGTTGCGATTCCTTAAGTAATTGCAGTAAGAAGGCAGAATAGCGTTGTCGTATTGCATTTAAAACTTCTGACTCTAAATTTTGTTGAGATGTTGCAGTTTCAAACATGTAGCTAAGATAAGGCCTAGGGTTAATATCCCTGTCAATTATTGGATCTAATAAGTTCCTGTTTACAGGTCTTGGTATTAAAATTCTTTGGCTCACTGATTGTATCAGTGTTGTGAGTGTATTAAGAAGTTTTAATGGATTAGAGTTCTCACTTTCAAATGGTTTAATTGCTGTTTGAACATAATTTAAAACGCTTCTCAGAAACACAAAATATAAATAATTTCTTTTGTCTTCGAGCATGTTGTAAATAAGCTCAGCTGAATAACAATTGTCTTTGTCTCTTGCTAAATTAAAATGTAATTTTAATTCTTCCCATTGTGTCACAATTTTTGTAATCGCTGGCTCTATTGAAAGCCAACGTGTATCGCACACCTTGTGTAATTTTCAACGGACCTTCGCCACAGTTAATAAGTTCGTATATTTTTGTGTATTCATCTCGCCGCTTAGGAGACACAGAAAACCATTTATAAATTTCTCTAACCAAAAACTCGATATTTCTTGGCAGAGTATTTTCGGATGTATGGGTCACTGCTAACTGCAACGAGTGGCAGACACATCGTATCAGTATCAAATTTTCTATACCATATTCACTTTTTAGAATTGCATGAACCCCGATATTAATGCCTGTCATAACAGATGCATTATCAGTTCCAATTCCAATCGTATGTTTAATATTTAAGTTGTGACTCTCTAAGCATGATACCAGGCCATTAACGATTCCCCTAGCATCTGCATTCCCAATAGAAACTAGTTCCAGGAATGAACTTACTATGTTTTCCTGTGGGGCACTATAATATCTAATTACAAGACCAAGGTGTTTACTGACACTGACGTCGGCGGACTTATCCATTATAATACTGAACTTTTGATTTCCAATATCATCTAAGAGCTCTTTGCGAAAGTGCGGCATCAACACATTTTTCATTATTTCTGTACATTTAGTTCGATGCAATTTTAGCTCCTGTGTAGCTTTGGAGTCTTTGAAACACATTTTGCATAGTTCACCTAAATGGTCTACACTTAATATAGAACAGTGCTCAGCAATAAATAAGGTCAATGCGCCTTCAGATTCATCGCAATGTCTATATGAATGGTCTTTTGGTACAACTTTGAAAGGAATTTCTTGATTGCCTGTAAAGACAAAATTAATATATGTACATAAGTGAATAAATGTTTAAAAAGAGTACTGTTAGAAATGTTTTAATATGCCGGTTATTGTTCATTTATTTTAGGGCAACACTAATAACAGTCTTGCTCACAGAACACTAATACCCTTAGGGTCTTGCTCTTCTACGCACATGAAAAGAGCGGCAAATTCAAAAAAATAAGGGATTTCAATTCAACACTGACTGTAGACGTAGAATATGACATTGATACTATTGTTTTATAAAAAAAATATTGGTAAAATGAAAGTATCAAACGTATTTCTCCCATCGATACAGTCTGCTATAAACAAAACTAATTTTAAATTCTATTCACGTACCTGTTTTAAACTCTACTTTCTGTTTATGTTTTTTTTTTTGTCTCAGAATGCTTCTTTATGTCAAATAGTTTAGCAAGAATTACCGTAGAAAAATATGTACAAAACGCTTTGCTTGAGTTTCCACTTGCCGATTTTAACCAACCTTTAAATTCGTCCATATTTTCCCACTCCGGTCTGTATTTCTGTGAGTACGCTTTTTTCTTCGAAGGTAAATCCATTTTCAAATAAAATTAAAACAGCGAGTATTAATTTTATATGAAAAAAAAAACAATACAACACAAGGTAGAATATAAGTAGCGCGTATATACTATTTTGGTTTAGTAAGTAATCTGGCATAGCCCATCAGGAAACGGAGAATTCCCGGCCAATGCCGACCTTTACGTACAATAGCATCTATGACCATAGATTCGCGTTTAGTTATTATTTTTTCTTTTGAGACTCGTTACCCTACTTTACGAATCTCGATAGTCTTACGTCCCACGATTAAATGAAAAGTTGCTAGAAAAAGTAGCTAAAAAGTTTATCTACAAATTTCATTAAATTGTAGCTTGGCTCGTAAAAATACCAGCCCACCGTTTACTGCAAACAAAATGCTGTCATTGTTGCAAGAAGCTTGTAATAGTGTTACTGCCGCGAATTGGGAAAGTGTGGTTTTACGAACAAAAAATTTGATTTTCGCTGATTGGAACATAGACATACATATCGATGCCGTCATAGATAACCAAATTATAATAAATACAGGGGATTCTGATGAGGGTGATGACGACGATGCCGACCATGAAATATCGATTTCGGCTAGTGATGATGAATATGTTCCATCTTGATAAAAACATCATGTAATATTATCTAATTAAAATTAAAAAACAGTTTTATATTGTTCGTTATAGTAATCGAAGATCAATATCGTCAAGTATCGACTATAGCGGTACTTTACTAGTACTTGATTATTGACATCTGTCAAATGGGACTTCGTAATTGGAATAGAGGTGCCACCAACCATGAAGTTATAGATAAAGATGGAGACCA